TATACTTAATTAGCAAAATGTTCATTAATTGTCTCAGACTTCATTGTTCCTGCATTTCCATATCAACTGCTTTCTGTTCCCGTTCTTTTCTTCTTGATCTTCTCAATCTTCTGCTGCCAGACATTCTATTCTTGACTCGCGTCATTTACTACTTATGTCGATATAAGTAGCACGCAACACAATTTGACTTTCGTAGTAGTTAATCAAGTTTTGTTATTAATTATAGATAACATGGAAATTGTCAAAAACATATGTTATATTCAGCCTATTGAATAAAATAATATATATCGTTTAAATTTTTATTTAAATGCAAATATTATGGAATCAAGAATCTGATAGGTGATTCCATCAAGTTTAAAGATGCCCCTTAATGATGAGTGTCAGCACGCATAAATCCTAGGCTCTGAAATTCGTATCGATCGTTCCCAACTATTTAACATCAAAGCACTATTTATGCGCTGCAATTTAGTCGGTTAAATTCTATCAGAACTAAGGAAAAGGCAAACAAAACAATGAGTAATATTTCACTAATGATTGGCTATTGTAAAAACAAAAGACCACATGAACAGTTGAAATGTAATCCTTATATATATTGACAAAGAGAACTACTGAAGTGTTCTTGAAGAAACTATGTCAAAAGTTGTTCTATTAACAGGATACATAATTTTATCACATTTTGCTCACTAAACAGAATAAAAAAATAATAATTTAATTCATTCTTGTGAGCGAACCTTACGGAATTGGCTAAATTTTAATACTGATAACACAGGATCTACAATTGCTTGTTACAAGACAAAAACAAATGATATTTACATGATAATGAATTAAAATGAAGAACCAAAGTACTCAAGCATATTTGTATTCTAGAGGAAAATAAATCAAAATGGACATAAATTCATAGACAGTTTACTATGACCAGTTTGAGACGTTTTAAGAATTCCTTTTGTATGAATAAAGATAACAATTTAAGAAAAAGACTACAAGTTACAAAGCCCAGTCAGTTGAACAACCAGCTTTCGACAATCAGATAGTATTTATTGAATCATGGATTGATAACTAATAAAAACTGTATTGATCAAGCATAGCTGATATCAAGATGCTTTTTGGGACTATGATTCATCACACACTAGAATCTAATAGATAAACACTGTGTAGTTGAAAGTAACGGTCAGCTGTTACCATATCAAACTAAATCAAGTAACTTAGAGTTTTACTCCAAGCACATCATCTTCGAACCGTTTATTTAAAATCCAATAATTCAAATATCCACATTCATACATTTTGTGATAGTGGTGTTGTGAGCGTTCGTAGTTGATGACGACTACGTCGAAATATCTAAAATTCAGCCCCTGAATTGAACAGTTTTCTAAATGATATCAGTCTATAACCTAAGCGAACTTTAAATCATGATTGTTTTATTAGTCATAACGATCAATCATTTACGTCATATTTCTCTCTTGTAAAAAAACAGCATAAATCTACTGGCTTGAATCTTCGGGCTGAACAATTCATAAATAATTTTAAGCACCATTAATTACTAAACTATCTGTAATTTACGCACGTAGATAAAATTTTTATTCGATGTATTATTTATAACCATTATTAAGAATGGTATTAATATTTTATAAACAACGAACATGAGAATACGGTTGGTTAGATACACTAGAGGTTTTAAAATAGTAATCCTCAATATCATCCCATCAATTACACTGGCAGTAGTAACTTGAGATTTCTTAAAATACGACAAATTCGATTTTTCAACTTACAAAGCCATTTATAGTTATTTTCAATAGTTTTATACATGTATTTTGTTTCCTAACTACTCTCAGTAAAATTCATATGAACCTGTAAAAACAGTGTTGAAGCATTGATGCATATAAATCTTTCAAGGAAATACTATCCAACGTAAAATATGAGCTGTAACTCAAAAAAAACAGACTAAATTTCTATAAATAGATATATTTGTAATATTCTCTGAAGAAGTGGCTCACACTAAGTCTAGAAATGTCAGAAAATCTTATTTTTCTACTTAATGGGATATTACGAATATATTTATTTATAACAATCTACCCAATGCTCAATGTATTCGAAATTATCAGATTAAATTTCTACTTCATTGACAATAATTCAAGATCGTCTATTGATTATATTTAAAGGAACCTTAACTACGAATTGAAATATGTGAAAAAATTGAGGATTGTTAAACGAGTCGTGGTATGTACTAGTAAGTCATATACGTTCAATGATAAGACATAATCATGATTAAGGATTGTAAAAATAATCTCAAGCGAAATAATTCACACTTCATTATCAAAATTTTGTTAGATAATTCTGTAATTAACAAATACTAGATTTCCCGCTTGTTTATAGTCTTGAAACTGATCATGAAATTTGATTTACCAATGAAGTCTACATTACGATACTCCATTCTGTTTACAGATATTCTTTCAATCATTCAAAAAGTATAGTAAATAAGTGTATATTAATCGTTCAACATTAAGAAGTTAAGAGTGTTTTGTTATAGATAGCATTAATCCATATTCTCATAGAAAGCGTAAACCCAAGATCTTACTTCATTATGAGTGAACGGTGAATAGGCCATAAATACAAATTCTCCGTTTGATTTCGTGTATTCTATTTGAGCTAACTATGTTTAGGCGAAGGCATTAACGAAAACCCAAACACCAATTAAGATAGATGGATTTATTTCAAGCACTTGTCTACTCAGATAGACCGGTCAAATACATATATGTATGTGTATACATGCGGGATTGGAAAGCCTAACACTAGACATGGATCGAAGTACGCTTCACTTAGTGTCACGGAAAAAAACGTAATCACTATGTTCTTTAAGACAAGGTTAGTTTTTAATACATTGGAACAATAGTGCTAAATGATGACTGAATATTAAACCTAGTTATCCCATCTCAAAGTTGAATCTTATCCTATAGGTTGCCATCTATCATCTGATATATTTCTCTTTTCAACAGGAACTTTTATCTTTTAAATCAGTGTTTTATATAGATATTCTAATGCAATGATACATTTTATTTTCAAGATTTCTTACAATCTAATTTCTATACGTAAATTTCCAGTCAAGTTTATAAACTGTCTGATATCCATTATAAATGAATGGTATGTAGTCATTTTTTCACCAATGTTTTCTCTCTCAAATTTATGTAAATTCATTATCTATTGAAAGAAAAGCCTTCTAGTCATCATGATTAAGAACATCTAAAATATTTTAAATATGAACTAAATAAATACACACAATTACTTTTAGACAATACATGAAATTACTGTGTTTACTCTCGTTTCTTTCTAATTTATTTATCTATCTATTTATCTACCTAAAGAAAACACTATAGATAATTTCATCATTTCGATTGAATAGTTGTTTATAGTTAGATTTTACCAGTTTAATCAAGGTTTACAACAACGGTTTTCTATTTTGCTAATGTGTCGTTTGACCTTTCTCTTTTCTGCTTCCCTTCAGGATTTCAAGTTTTGGCTTGCCTCCGATCAACGGACATTTAGTATCTTGCACAGACAACTGTTTGTGAATAGTTGTACCTTCTTGATGATGGTTTTAGTAGTTCTCTAAGTTTCAGCTCCGTACAGTAGAACTGCCTTGACGTTGGTATTGAAGATTCTCACTTTGATATTGGTTGAAAGTTGTTTTGAGTTCCATATTTGTTCAATTGCGGAAATGCGGCCCTTGCTTTGCCAATCCTCGCCTTTATGTCTGCCTCTGATCCTCCTTGTTCATCGATTATGTTTCTCAGGTATGTGAAGGATTCTACATATTCCAGAGTTTCGCCATCAGGTGTGATTGGATTGCTATTCTCCGTTTTGAATTTGAGGACATGGGTTTTCCCCTTGTTTATGTTGAGGCCTACTGATGCAGAGACTGCTTCTATACTGGTTGTATTCATCTGCATTTGTTCGAGTGTATGGGATAGGATGGCTAGGTCATCTGCAAAGTCCAAATCGTCTAATTGGTTCTGAGCTGTCTATTGTATGCCGTGTTTTCCCTCAGATGTCGAGGTCTTCATATTACAGTCAACCACCAGAAGGAGGAGGAAGGGAGAGAGTAAACAGTGTTGTCTGACTCCGGTCCTTACTTGGAATGCATCTGTCAGCTGTCCTCCATGTACTACTTTGCACTGTAGTCCGTCGTATGAGTTCCGGATAATGTTGAAAATCTTCTCAGGAACTCCGTAGTGTCGAAGAAGTTTCCATAATGTCCTTCAATCTACACTGTCGAATGCCTTTTCATAATCAATGAAGTTGATGTATAGTGACGAGTTCCACTCAACTGATTGTTCGACGATGATCGGTAGTGGCGTAATTTGGTCTGTGCACGACGATTTTACTATACTGTGTTAAATTAAATTATTTACTTCATACTGATTGCTTAACTTCACATTCATTGAGATGATTACTTTTATTCTATCTAAAATAAATGTTTAAATAATATATTTGTTGCTGACTAGTTTAAAGTTTATTTTCCATAAAAGATTCACTAGCTTATCTGACTTGTTAGTAAATATTATTCACAGATTTGCACTCCATAAATCACTGCATTTTCACTATGACGTAATTAGATTTTATGGTATTCTTCTTTATCTTTGTCCATAAAACACATTTATCGATAAATTTATGCATACATTAATCACCCCAACCGCGGTTTCTAGCATTCTCTGCATAGTGGTAGCTTATCAATTCATTTTTTTTTCGAGTAACTGAGTGGAACGAATTTGTCTGGCAAATCAAGAAAAACCTGATTGAAATTTTCCCTGAAATAGATTTTCATCTCGAAATTTTTAACGAAACATTAATCAAATAAATTTCCTCCAGATGACTAACATTATACTGTAAATACTACAGTATAAAACTTGATTTACACAGAAGATGAATGAAGTTGGACTTATATCTATGCTTCTCACATTCAGTCAAAAATTTTATGTATGTGTATCAAGTAAAGAAGTCTCAAACAGTAGGTTTTAGGTACCGACGTTGTAATAATAGCAATTGAAAGAAACATATTCAAAAACTTAGACATTTTCTATTACAAAAACAGTAATTGATATTTTTTTACAATTCTAAATATCGTCCCATAATCAACAAAGATACGTTCGGATGAGGAAGATAGAAACCAAAATTATACTGAAAGGAAATATTGGAAAAAACATAAAAAATAATTGAATCTGAAGTCATCTTTTTTGAGCATTGAAAATATATGTATGGCTTTCGCCTCGTCCTTGAAGATATTTATTTACTTTTTAACTACAAATATTGGTTCTGGGATTGATCCTGGTGGTATTGAATAGTTTATTAAATTAGAGTTACATTGATGCTGTTGTTCTGTACAGTGAATTGTTTGAACTTGATCAGTACAATAGCACTTGGTTGGGGTGTAAGATATTGTTGATGACATATGATCTAGACATGGTGAGTATAGTGTTAAGCTAGAAAGTTGTGAACATTTACATGGTACGATGGTTTCCGGTTCATTCAGTGTATATTTTATCATTGTTTCATGTAGGGGGTCCGGATCTTCAGATCTAAATTAAATTCGTAGTGTTAAAGGTTACAATTAATTAAAATTATACTTTACTTAATGCTTTAAAAAATCGTTTATAAACTGTTCGTTCAATTTTATGTTGAAAAAAGCATTTTATGTTCATTTGAATTAGATGCATTTCAAAGATGCAGCTCGATATATTTTGTGGATTATATTATGAAGTGCATACAATAATAATAGAATTATCTTTGTGTTTCTTACGAAACGATTACGCTTATAAAAACTAACAAAAACAATAGGGTAACACAAAAAACTTACCAAATGAACTTTTATAAACAATACGTGGATACCAAATTCCTCACATATCATGAAGACTGGTATTCAGGTATTTACAAGGTGTTATAACGATTGTCACCCATCATCCACCATAAATTTAAGGAGGACCTTATTGCTGATTATACTTAAAACGCAATCGTAGACGTTAAGTCGAGAGACATATAATGCGAAAATCTCTGTACATAGTAAATATTTCTAACTCTAAATACCGGAATGTGCATGAAACAGTCTTTTACTAATTAATCAAACACGTCATCTAACAAGACATCATAGAACGACACAGACCAATTATGTCCAGTATTTTGTGAAGCTTAGTAAATTATAGACATTTAACAATAGAATTTACATGCAATACGTAATACTTTAAAAACACGTTGAATCGGGATTCATTGGTACGTATGTAGTCGTTTGATTAGTTCTGTAGTGGCTTAAGATATAAACAAAATGTCGTAATAAATCATATTGTGTTTCACAGTATTTTTTAAATATACTTTTTAAAGATAATAATGTTGTTGGGGGAACAGGCTTTGTTGACGACCTTGAGGAAAATCAGCCGCTTATAAAGTTCAAAATACGATTTAAATTAGTGTTACGAATTAACTTCAGAAGTAAAGGTAAGGAGTCGAAGTCAGGGTTTTTATTAGGAAACGGATCAGTAAAAGTGTAAAGATGTTTTGTTGACATACAGATGAATGGACTTTGCTTCAAACCTTAATAGATTCCATATCGCATTTGATTGGTCAATTAATAAAGAGTAATTTCAAAATATATGATAAATATGATAAAATTTACCTCGAAATTTCAGGCGTCATCAGTGCATAATGTTTGTCTGAAACAAAGAGAAAACAACTGATTATAATAAGCTCCAATTGAATAATGATAAAAATCGGCTTTGTGAATAAACCAATAGATAACATTTAGAAATGTTGTTATTTAAGATTTCTTGGTATACACTAACCTGTAAATAAGTTCAACAAATGAAATATGTTTTCACAATGCTTATTATTAAGATCTTAGCAGCTTTTTTAAAATCTTGTGACCAATTTGGTGGTACTATACAATATGTTACAGTTTTCAACATCCATTACAATAAAAATAATATATTTGTAATATCCCAATGAGTAGAAAATAGGATTTTCTGACGTTTCGTGACTTAGTGTAAGTCACTTCTTCAGAAAATAAATAACCATTAATAAATGTCCATTACAATATATCATTTGTTTAGTTATCATAATTGTTCAAGAAAGTTGTTTCAAAACATTGTACATGGTGATTTTGCAGATAAATAGTGAATATTAGTCAGAAAATATTTCAATACGTCAGTGTAGTTTTCACTTAAACTGATTTGGAATATGTTTGTGATGGTAGGAAGTGTGTTTCGAATAGGATAAGTATATTCAATATAGACTGGGGACTTTTTGTCAACAATCATTAATATGATTTCTTCAAGTGATAAAAGCCATTTTCAATTTGAATTTATGATCACAAACAAATCAACTAAACAGAAAATAATCAAGCATATGAAAACATAAAGAAGAAATCAACTGAGCCTGTGACACAGTCTCTGAAATATCTAAACTTATTTAACTAACAGTAAAACAATAACCGTATTGTGAATAACAGTCTTCATAAAATCCCATAGTTTCCGTCAACATTGTTTGTATTTCCTCAGGCTGAATTTGGTGTCTTGCATGAAAGAATGTACTGTCATTCATAATTATTTAAATTGTTTAATAATTACACGGCATTACTAATTCGATGCAATATAAACGATGGTTATACCGAATGCACACAGCGGTAATCAATTTCTTCATTAAAAGATTCAAATTAATAAAACAATTCCTCGAATACTCCATTACTCACGATTATTCATAATCACTTTATTTATCTTAGCCTATTCCTGTAATTCCTTGAGCAATGTCACGGTCATCAGATGTGCATACATGTAGAATACTACGACACTAAAATGAGCTTGTAGATGCATCTTATTAACCTTGAGCATTTATTAGATATTTATCAAGTACTAATTGTCAGTGAGAAATATAAGTTGAATTCATATTGCAAAATCTTCGAAAATCAACTCACTATAAAAATTCTATGAGGTTTATTACCTAGAACAAAACCATTTTTTAATCTCCTTTGAAAATACTGACAATAAGTAACATTATTAATTACGTAAATAATCTTTTTCAAGACAAAATATTAACTCAGGCTGTTGTCTTTTATAATGATATATTTAGTAAGATTAATGATTTTGTCAAATATTAACATCATACCTGGTAAATTATGATCTATCTCTTTTGTTACATCATCAGTATTCCACATATTTACTAAATTTGTATTTTGTTTATCCATTACTTGATGATTTTTTGATGTATCTGAAGAAGAAGAAGGATAATAAGCTGAATTTTCATAACTAGATAATATTAAATATACTTGATCACAATTTGTATGTTCGGTTTGTTTTGAACATTGAATTGTATGATTTGAATTTATATCTGTTGTATTCAATACATGTTGTTTTATATATTGTGAATTTAAATAATGATTTAATTGTTCATTATTACAATCATAGCAATCATGAATACTATAATGATCTAATTTATGATTAGAATTTGATATTAAATTTTGTTTAAATTTATTCATTACAAAATTTGTATCATATAAATCAAATGAATCATTTAAACAAGTTTTATTCATTTGATATTGATTATTTAAAAAATCAATATTAGGTAATGTTACAATGATTTGTTTATCATGATATTGTTTTATTGATTGTTTTTTATTTTTATTTTTTATTTTTTTAAGTTTGATTTTGATCTTTTTTATTGATTTCTTTGAGAATATAAATATAAGAATGAATATGATTAATATAAAAGTAAAACTAATACAATAAATAAACCAATATGTTTTGTTATGTTTATTTATTATGTCATGATTATTGAAAGTGTTCAAGTTCTTTAATGTTTTCATTTTAATATTATGTAATCTTATATTAGTAATATTTTGTTGATAATTATTTAACGTTTCATAATGTACTTGTTGAATTGCTTTATAAATAAGATAACGTTCATAATAAAGAGTTTGATTTAATGCATTTAAGATGGATGCTATAATGAAGAAAAATAATTTCCATGATATAAATCACATGTTTGTTACATGATTAAACATTTAGAAACAAAACACATATATGTGTGTTATGTATAAGATGAGTAAGATTGATCACAAGATTGTCTCAATGGGCATATTCCTTTTTTTATATGTAAGAAAACTAATATAATTATATTTAAAGCTTATCATAAGTATTATCAGAAAGGAGTTTTCTGAAGATTTAAAGCTAGACCATCATGAAAAACCTGGAAGCACTGGACAGCCGTTTCGTTCTAGTATGGTACTCCTTAGAAGTGTGCAACCAGGACCTATCAGTCTTACGCTTGAACACTTAACTTCTAGACCACTGAGCCGGCATCTAACGGTGTTAATGTTTAACCAATGGAATTGAACCTTTTCATAATTATTTAACAAGCTTTTGACATTTTTCGAGAGAAATATCATTACAATTAGACATAAGTCAAATTAAATATAGAAATACTTGATGTCTGATTCGTTCTTTAATATGGACACTAAGTTGCATTCATTATCATTATGCCTTAAGATGGCAGTCAGAAACACTTAACTATTCAAATTGTAACTTATTATAAATTGGAATTATCTAGCTAACTTTTCTGAAGTACTCACTTAGTCACAGAATTTAGAATCTTTTTGATTCTTAAACAGTTATTGAATAAACCATACATGTAAATAATGCTCTCGATTAGTGTTTATAAAATAGTGTAGTAAAGAGGCGAAGATTATCAGAACTATGTGATATATTAGCGCAATACATTTCGAACAATCTGATTACACATATACTTGTTGAGAACATTTATATATAAAACTGAAAGGTCAACTAGACAAGAAATAGAGGGTAAGAAGAGACAAGGATAATAAGGAAATAATTTGAAAACAAATTTGAACCTCATCACTCTGGATAATAAACTAATGTTACCAGGGTAGGTGAGAACAAACTGGTTTTGAATACGCAAAGGGGGTTTGAATTTTTGTATGGCTAAAGCTTTAATAAACCTTAGTATAGGCCCTTTTACACTTTTATACAATACCAAAAAAGCCGAGTTAAGATCAATCGTATGACCTGTTTCAACTATGTGCTTGAAAATAGAGGATGATAGATGTTTATCCTCTATTCATATTGAGTCATTTGAATTTTTATATATAAATGTTCTCAACAAGTATATGTGTGATCAGATTGTTCGAAATGTATTGCGGTAATATATCACATAGTTATGATAATCTTCGTCTTTTTGTTACACTGTCGAAATTTATCAATGCAACTAACTGCTTGAAATTTGTAAAATAATTTTTTTCAGGAAACATATTTATTGATGTCAAATTAAATAAAATCGGGAATTCGGGCTAATCGAAATCTGTATGATCTTCAGCGTTGATAATGAATAACTTACTGACATTAAAACTCATTTATCAGTTTCATGCTTCATGTTGGTTAATTATAGTGTAAAAGGTGTAACTAAAAAAATAAGACTTACGTAATAAAGGGTGTTTAATGATTAACTCATTGGACGGTTCACTAACTGACATTAAGCCGAAAGATTTTACACGAAACCTCAATTCATATACCAATGAATTGTAGTATAAATTAGTTAGAAATGAGTTTAATTCATTGTATTCAACAATTGTTCTGAATGCATCACTGTCAACTGTTAGATCTTCATTTCTGTTGTTACTTTCCAACAAAAACATTTCATTATCATGATTTAATTCAAGAGTTAATTTGGGATAGCGTACTGGTGCTAAGGACTTCCACCGATATATATAATTTTTACCATCCGTACAATTACTAATTCCAAATAGATGAGTTTGGGAACTTGTGCATACAATGAATTCTACCTGGAAATATGAAATTTGCTCCGACAATTCATTGTTTTTCTGTTGAACATTTAGATCAAGTGATGAAGTTTGTGGATTCCCTTGAAATTTCCATGTTAGAATGCTGTTATACCGTTCAGTTTGAGTTATTTGTAGTTTTAATGATTGTGGCGACGGTGGTTTAGATGAGTCTGTATCTGAGATACGAAAAAAATGTTACCGAAAATATGAGTTTTAACAGTTGGTTAACATCATCAGAAGTTTTTTCTTTGTTAAGATTTATGCATATGTTCATTACAGTCATAAGATGCACACGTTTTATTTGTTCTGCACTTAGGAATAAGTTTCTTTCAATTACTTCTATAAATCAAAACAGTCAAGATGTTTTTACTCTAAAACAAATGACCGTACAATTTTATAGTGACCATGTTATCAAATGAAAGAATGGACACCTTAGAATTGACATAAAACGGATGTACGTAACATTTTCAAAATAAATGTTTCGAAGTCTTACCATTACTGGTACTGCCCGTAGAAACGTTAAGTGAAAATAAGCATTTCAAAAATGTAGTGTACAAGTTTCACAAGAACGAGCTATACCTATAATTGATCACTAAGCATAACTGTTATTTTATATATATTATGGATAAAACATGTTTTAGTCGAACATTTTCTTATTTACCTTCATATTACTCTGCCAAACGACTAACAAAAAGGCAGATGTAAATACAGTGAGTGGCATTCATTTAGTGGAATGTCATCTGTTAGTTTTTTCACATTTTGAAATGTCTATCCACAACCATCTTCATAATAACGTTAAAGTGATTTGCTGCCAATAGCCCTAAGTCTTTTTAAAAAAATGGTAGAATAGAAGGGTTATGTTTAATGTAAAACAATGGGAAATATACAAAGTTTATTAGTCGTAAAAGTATGCATCGTGTAGTGCTAAAAACACCTAACATTATTGCACCATAAGTCGAAGAAAGTTCCCCTGTTATTAACGAAACACGAGCTACAATAAGTGAGATCGAATACTGTTCTTTTAAATAATTTTCAATAATGCAGACGTCATACAACCCCTTCATTGTGTTTAAGTCCACTCTATATCACAGAAATACTGACATTTCAATTGTAAAAGCATTCAAAATTAAATTAAATGTTGGCTGAGACGTCATTCATTTCAAAACAGTGAATTAAAAAACTTTCAAACACACAGCAATTGAAATGTGTTGTGTGAAAGTAATCCTGAACCTCCTATAAAATTGATGAAATTGGGAAACATTTAGGAAGATGAATGCACAAGATCTTTAAAACAGCACTTAGCTACTCCTTATCACTTGTTGTTTGGAAATAACTGTTGTTTCCAGATTAATTATTATTCATCACTTTCTGCTATAGTTTCAAAGTAACGGACATTAATCCTGAATTGATAAGATAATAATTTACAAGTTTCAGAAACCTTAAGAATCTGTTCAATATAACCCAGTTGACATGTTTCATAGACTGAACTGTAATATCATCCAAACATACCATATCGATCGTGAATTCCTATCATACCATGAAACTGAAGAAAATATAGTTCTTCCCTTCAATAATAAGTATATTTTTGTTATAACCCAATGAGTAGAAAAATTGTATTTCTGACGTTTCATAACTTAATGTAAACAACTTCTTCAGAGTAAATAATTAACCGAATTGAGTCTGAAAACTTCAGAAATACAATTTTCTACTCATTAGGACATAAGGAAATATATATTTACTATTGACCTTTTACCAAATGCTTAGTTTATTTGAAATTATCAAGTCCAATCTTGCCACTGATACATACAAGTTCCCTTGTCTTAAAACCATTCATGATATTAGTTGGCATTAAATATTATTACTCGCTTCAGTCAATTTTTATTGGTGTAGACGGCTAACACAATCTATCCTACTAACCTTGATTTGATCGGTAAATTTGAACTTAAAAGAACTTTGCCAACACACTATGAGACTAGAGTTTCGTGAGTTCACAATTGTATACATTTTTCACTCAACCCTTTATCTCGACAATTGTCTATCAGTCTGAATAGTCTATATATCTACATAAGAAACCTAAATTTAAATACAATAGACGGAATTTACTTAGCAGTGAGATACAGTAAACATGTTTTGTTTTATTTTTGAACTCATCTACTGGACGTACCTGCAACCCAGATTCAAACATTTCACATCAAGGTTAAAGTCCTTAAATCGTTATTGAATTACTTACTATGTCCAAATATGTGTTCATTTGTGAAAAGTGCATGAATTTTAATTTTAATTGTAATAGTCTGGATTAAGAAACTGTTAATTAATAGGCTGACTTTTGTGTGGTGTTCTGGATTCATCTGATTGCTACACTCCAACTCTTCTATATACATTGCCATTCAATAGTTACATCGAAATAATCCTCATGGAATGCTTATATGCCAACGCAGACTGACCGAATTTCAGTAAAAATCTCAATAATGAGATAATCCAATCCACTAAAAACTAAATTAAAAAGCCTAATTGATTTCAATCTCTTGAGATCACAGTGTAGATCGAATATTACAGCCTACTTATTAGGTAGTTTAACGACTCTTATGTCTCACTACAAATATTTGAGTTAATTAGGTATTCTTTAAAATATCCGCCACAACAGATTAGTGATAGATTTCAAATTCTTCTAAATGAGCGGGATAATTGATTTTCTGACAATTCACAACACAATATAAACCATGAATAAATAGCATTTTCAATTTGACATAGTTTTACATAGTACGACGAATAGGATAGATCAAACTGTCGGTGCATGCAAGCAAGTTTTAAGTCTTTTTGGCTTATTTGAGCATCTTAAGGTTTCATTTCATGGCTGTTGAACAAGTTATGCACTAACAATCGCAAATTAATGTATATATTTTTGAGCTCTCATGACATTTTGAACTTAAATGTTTTGCGGCACGAATCAGGTTTTCCAAAGAAAACTCTTCAATAAAAATATGCCTCTTAACGAACAGAGCCCATTTAGAATATATAGTTCTATAAAGACACTAATAGAGTTTTATCTTTTATTCAAGGTAAATCTTCTCCTTCTGTGTGTTTTACTAAAATTTTAGCAGTTCTATCTAAATTACAGCTGGTCCGTTACAAAGTAGAACTTGGTATATATGTACACCAGTTCAGGTTTTCAAACCTTGTTAACACAGCAAGATGAAACTGTTAGGCTGAATCATTGAGCAGTAGACGTAGTGACAGTATTAATGATAATAGAAAAGATAAGTCGTTAAAAATATGACTCATAAAAATGTTAATTAGTCACATAAATAAATTATAAAGAATTCGGAGTCTTAGCTTTCAGGATAGACAACAAATGAATGCACCCGAACCAATCCAAATGACTTTCTGTCATGTCATTCAAAGTCTTTAGCCACTAGTTACGATAATCACGCGTACTTCAACCAAATAGTCTACACCTGTCAACATATCTCAATCCAATTTTCAGTGACTCTATAGAGAGTTATCATGTTTTATTTTGTTCACCCCTAGCCTCGTTCCAGTTTAATTTTACACCAAATAAAATCATCTATAGACGTAGGCGGTTAGCACTCATAAGTAACACATGTTCTAACCACCTCATCAATCTATTTACCAACTACAGCATGAAATCATGATTTCTCTTTAGAGTATTCACTTAATAATAATTCACTTATTTCAGCATATTTTATTATTAACCGAGTAAGGTCAATAAATTGGAAGATATTAGTAGTTTCTTTTCCTTTTGTTGAAATTACTTTATAGTACAACTGTAGTAGTTATTGTGAATGAATTTTGAGAAAAAGAAAGTTTAGGGTTGAATGAATTTACCAACAAAAATACAATTATAAATATTAACTTGAAAGTATTGGAGATTTAAAAGAATTTCTATCGATCATTCAAAATTATTGTGTACTGTGTCATAAATGATGAAATTAATTGCCAAGTTTAACAACCATTACTAAGATATCATGAATTTCATTGTAAAAATAAATACAAAATACAAGACGATGATAACAAAAATTATCTCTTATAAACATTTCAAATAGAGATAATGTATTTTATTACCGTGTTCAAACTCTAAATAATGGGTATTGTTATTCGTTAAAATTAATCCAGTATTTTGATTTGATGGTAATCCAGTTCTAATTAGTACTGTAGAACTACTCGAGTGATTATAGTTCGATGGTGTACACCAATGACTTATTCGGAATGCATATAGTTCATCTGGAATAAGTCCATTTAATCTTATTCGACTAGTGTATTCTGGTTGTACAACAGCTAAAAGTGAGAAAATGGAACAGAATAGAACAAAGTATTAACATTTTAAAACATTTAAAATAAGAAATTATACATTACAGTATTAACATAAGTTTTAGTTTAGATTCTAATGAATGGAACCTTGTCGCTATTCAGTTTTTTAGCTCAATTTGTATATACAAACAAATGAATCTTTATGTTTTGTACAATATATTGACAATGAATGCAGAAATGGAATAAATCCATGTTTCTATTTTCTGCAGAACAGTTTAAAATATCAAACTAGATTAGAAAGCATGAATAATCAACTTGCTACTTTTCAGAAATTTTCTAAATCTTTTAATTAAATTCCTTTATTATATAATGAAGAAGTCTTTAATTTTGATGACGAAAATTTGAAAAATTCAATAATTTAGAGTATTGTTCGGTTGAATTTGTATGAAATTTTAACTATCACAGGGTGATGGAATGTAAATTGTATCATTTCCATCAACTTCAGTACATAAAATTCATCAAATGATAGATGAATTTCAGGTCTCACGTTTCTTTGCCCATAAAGAAAAGTATTTTTTGTAACATAAAGATGATTACGAGTAAACTAATCATCTCTACATGTAGAAAAATCATTATTACATGGGTTAACACTAACTTGTAACTTTTACACAATGAAGAGACTACTAAATAGTATTTTATCATCAAAAGAAGTGTTTAATAATCATTTCTAAACAGTATAAAGTATCAGATTGATATTTATAGCCCAATCATTAAACAATTAGAGACACTGATCGAAGTATGTTTCGCTTATAGTTATTCATGTACCATAATGTCAGTTAACAGATACAATGAACTATATTTATATATTTTTCAACAATAATAAATATGTACCAGTTTCAGAGTAGAGTATTAAAAAGGAAGCGTAATACACTATGTTTAACCTAAGATTGGTCCATGATTATTATTAAATGAATGCTAAAATTTTATTAATATGATTCGTTTCATTCTTAGAGGAAAGTACACAGATAGCATAGAATACTCACTTGTGATCCATTCATCACCTGACCGAACCGGTGAATGATATGTTACGTAATAACATTGTTTGCCGATGGTGTCAAAAGTAGTACCCGAATGCAACGTAGCGGGTTGTTTCATTTTATTCCAAGATAATATTGCAGAGTATATTGAAGGTTTGACATGCAACATAATGTTATTAAAAAATCTATCATATAGCTGCATTTTTGGATCTTGCTTTAATTCCACTGATGTTATAATATGACCAATAGAATTTTTAGCGATACAAAAATACTGTCCAGTTACTTTTGACGCATTACAAGTGTATATAAGAAGACTTCCATCTGGCATTTTGTTCACACCACCTGGCAAATCGACACTTAAGATTGATCTTTTATTAATTGTCCTGTCTTTTTGAAATGGATACTGGATACCATGATCAGTAGTATTGAATATACAGTTTTCAACTTGTTCAGTAATATCTTCTCTATCACAATCATCATGTTCTTGGCCTACCACAATATTCTCAGTTCCCATCTTCTGTGTCTGCTTGTTTAGACTCTTGATCATAACAGATTTTGATGAATTACTCCCTAGTTGGTTTAATTTACTCTGGAATCACAAAGATTAGAAGAGCAATGAAGAAGAATATACTGTACATGAGAATACATAAACAGTTACACACAGAATACATCAAGTTTATTTTTTTGTGTTTCGAATAGTTTATGAATACGTTTAATAGTGAATTTTTCATCATGCTTACAGCAAATATGAACAAACGATAAAATGTTAACAATACATCTTCTTTCAGGAAGATACGCTAACATTTTTTTCACAAATACTTTCAGTTATTAGACTGTATTTACATAAATTATTTCTTTTAACTGTGATTAGCTTTGAGTATCTTGAACAGATATTCAGTATTTATAAATAGTTGTCTACGCAAGATACCCAATATTCATTGGCCGGATACCATCAGCAAAAGCTTACTGTGGGTGAGGAAAAACAAGCTTGAGAAAATTAGGAAAAGACATTGAAAGTGGATAAAACATACAATGAGAAAATCACCAAACTGCATCACAAGGCAAGCGCTAACTTAGGATCCTGAAGGGAAGCGGAAAAGAGAGGGGGGGCGAAAAACACACTACATCAAGAAATGGAAGCAGATATGAAAAGGATGAATAGCAACTAGAAAGAATTTCCCAAGACAGGGTTGGATTGAGAATGCTGGTGGGAGGCCTATGCTCCTCCACGAAGGGTAACAGGTGTAAGTAAGTATGATTAGCTTTATCATTTATCAGTTACTGCTGTTTTTATCGGATATTACTGATTATTTCCTATCTTTTTGTATAACAGAAATTTCGACATAGACTTGAACAAAAATAACATTATATTAATTTATATTTTCGATCAATCAAGATACATAAAGTTATTCATTAATTGTTTTTATATAATCATAACAAATATTACTAATAAATTCATGTGATGCTCATATGATATAAAAATAATATTTCATGGGTTAAATGTTCAAGATTACATCTTTTCTGGATATCAGAAAAAAACTAAAACATAGTTAACGTACATAAAACCATTGAATTATTGGTTTAGGTTGTCCGTAGGCTTCACATGGTAATATTAACGGCATATTACTCTTTACGAACTCAACTGATTTTGGCTTCCTTATAAATCGAGGTAGTTCTGTAAAACAATAAAAATTCAACGTTTAAAAAATCCAGTTTACATATTTGTGATTTATTGGAATTTAACTTCTTTTACGAGTAACGGCTAACTTCTACGTGTATATACTAAATCTGATCTTGAGTCAGTACGAGTATAATATACTTAAAATATCCGTCCGTCTTTGTTATTTATTTAAGTCATGCTTACTTACCTGTCTTAATTATATCTGTCAAATAGTACTTAGCTTTTCAATGTTGGCTGTTGAAGGTCTGTCATTGTAAAGTTGCAAAGATGTCGATGAGACTCTTCTTGCTGGAAGTTGTCACAGAGGCTGATATGTTATAGAAGCATTGCTCAGAATTTGAAGAAGTGGTTTCCCAAAAGTTGATCACCAAGTGTTTAAATGGCAATAGACAGTCGTTTAATAAAAAAGTTTTCTGTGAACCCTTTTTATAATCGATAAATTCGATTTCTAATTATTTCCTTGAAGACGCTCAATATAACTTAACAAGAGAAACATCGGAGTAATAACCAAGTTTATTCAATGAGGATTTTGCAAATATAGATCGTTTTTTATGAAAACCTAAATTCAAATTTATTAATTAATAACGTTTTGACACTGATTTATTTTCATATCAGAGAACACACGTCATGAGTTGTCGAAAAGTATAGACGTTTATAAGGATTGACAATAAAGACTAATCCGTGTCGAGTAGAGACAGATATCTACCTCAGTACAATGGAATATGATCGCGCAATTTTGTGAATTAGTTGAGGTTAGACATCACGACTATTTGATGCCGGCTCAGATTACTAGAAAAATAGATATTTCTTCATTTCTAAGGTTCAAAGGTGGAACCTCAACGTCAATAATTCACTTCACATGTGTTGACTTCTTAACACTTCAATATGTTTCATAAAAACACCCAGTTATTATTATTTTTTTAAATGTATTTGAACATCATAAATGAAATCAATTTCTTATTTATCACTTGAGTTAGCAACAATTAAGATAAACGTCTGTTGTACAAAATATACTTACCGTTTACAATTACTTGTATTTTTGGAGACCATGAACTCCATCCAATTGTATTACGAGCTCGACATTGATAAAATCCACCATCATTTTCTCTTACATTATCCCATTCATACCAATAAATAGTGAAAGACTACAAAAGTATAAATTATGAAGAATATTGAACTGAAAAAATTCATTCGTTTACCTTCTAAATTCTCTAAAGGCTTTGTTCATTTGATTAAGTTTTATTTTTCTGACTTTATTTTGATTTAAATATGACATTTTATTACTGACTAAAGTCATTAATGCAAAATGTTAATGTGCTAGTTTCAAATCACAAAGAAACAAGTATCCATTATTTTCTGTTTTTTAAATATTCATGAATTGATATAAGAACGTAATGAATGTGATCTCGAAATTCAGTTGTATGAATTACATAAACCTAATTCGACTTACAACTGAACTGAAAATCGTATTTATCTACTTAAATTAAACTTAATTGTACTGTGTAAATTATTTGTAATCAATATGTTATTTTAGTTAATTAGTATTTTGAACTGCTAATAATTAATAGTTAAATTCGTGAGTCATTTCGTTCTAGCGTAGGACTCCTCAACAGTGCATATCTACGGTCCTGCGACCGTAGAATTTGAATCCAGGACCTATCGGTCTCGCGCGCAAGCGCTTAACCTCCAACGGTGTTAATGTTTAGCTGCAACCAATCCACAAAGTAAATTGATTTCAATGAAATTTTCAATAAGTATAGCTTTGAGCATTCACATTCAACACCGCATGATTTTTCTGTACTTAATTTATAAGACATCACATGTATACTGTTTTGAATAACTTGTACTTTTGTTGACATTTAAATGAAGCCGCTAAATGAAATATAATAAAGTTATGCTGCATATACTTTTTACATAAATAAACACACTTCAATGATAAAATGACGGTTTTTTTCAAATTGTTCAATATTATTAGCATTTTATGATACACTGAGGCTATGAATTAGTTTAGTTTGACATTATATACAGATGCTTGCTGTAAAATGTACATAATCACATCATTATATTTAACAGTGTAAACGTGACATGTGAACTAAATTAATTACTTTAAAAAATTAAATGTAATGCTCAACTAAGAGTTATTCAGAAACTATAAATTATTCAACATTGAATCTTTTTCTGTGCATTGAAATTTATATGGGTTATTTCAATAGTTGAGATCATGAGTCAATTGAAGCTAGACAACCATGGAAAACCTAGAAGCATTGGACGGCTGTTTCGTCCTAGTATGAGACTCCTCAACAGTGCGCATCCGCGACCCTTCTCCCTGCGAGATTTAAACCCAGGACCTATCAGTCTCGCGCGCGAGCGCTTAACCACCAGACCAATGAGCCGGCCGGCGTATAGCGGTGTTAATGTCTAACTTCAACTAGTCCACAAAATTGGGCGACACATCCACCGTTTTCATCAGTAAGTTACTGGCTCACAACAGACCCGGTTGAACTCCATTGGTCACTGCTTCTCACTAGAACTCCAGGATTTACCTCTTGAAGCCAGTCACTAGTGAGCATATATTGATTAGTATGAGGTTGATTAGTTCCAGGTTTTCCATGGTGGGCTTGCTTCACTTGACTCATGATCCCAACTATTGAAAAAATTTCATATAGGTTAAGAATAATTTCAAATTATACGTGTCACAAATATGATAAATACTGAATATAAGCGTTGATGCGTGATAAATATCAATGAACTGTGAGAAAGAATGTTTCTTTTTATAAGATCTATGCAATCAAGTGATGTAATATAGGACAATAAGATACTTTATACTTATGTAACAAAACGTGCTCATTATTCAACGAACATGAATGAACATATGTTTAATAATATTGTAATATGTACTCCTTTCAAATAAATTCGACAATTGCTATATAATAAAATCAGTTCAAGCTAAAAACCCTTTCGAATAATCACTACGGTAATATAAAAAGTAAGTTCACAGCTATTTCAAAACTTCGCCTGATAAAAAAGCATAACTGTTTAAGCTAAAATGATAAATATGATTGACTAACAACATATATTATAATAATTTTTCGTTTTTTCACTAGGATGATTTAATCGTAAAGCTTGTTTGTTGTGTAATAAGCAAATATTGTTGTCTCCAAACTAATCAATTGAATAAACAATAAATGTACTTTATTGAAGTACAAGATGGAGTTTGATCAGTAACATCTGAAAGTTAATGTTAAAATTTGTGACTGAGTAAAGAACTTTTGTCAACCCTCGAAATGACGAATATTTCATTTTTGTTGGCATAATCCCTTGTCATTGGAAAAATTAAATATTGATGTAAGACTGTAGTAATAAATAATAATAATAATAATAATAGCTAAACTGATTGCTATAAGTTTTGTTACAGTAGATAGTTCTCCCTATCAATTATACGATATTTCAGTAAATTTCATTTTAAAATACATTTAGATTGTAATCATCGGCAAACTATATTCTATAAAATTTTACTCAATAGTCAGTATTTCTAGATTCTTTTTAATAGTGTAAGTTGACTATCAGTTTAGGCGGTACATCTATTATTTTACTCATCAAATACTTTTAACCTATGATTTTTGTTAATCCTTTATTTTTTAAAGGAATATTCAAAGAGAAGAGTTGGTCAACAAGAATAATATTTCGGTCTGAGACTTCCAAAATTTGGTATCGAAATAGATTGCCAATCTTTTATAATATCTCATGAGTAAATAAAGTTCGTTTACACCAAACAAATATCAAAAAAGAAGCTCTATTGCAAATGTAGGTCTCAAAGGCGCTTAAGAAAGCCGCCGTATATGAGTTTAAGTTTTGCTAAACAAAAGAGAACACATATATTATTTTAACATAAACTCAGTAATCTGAAGCATATCACACTATTTGGCAAATCAGTTATAGGATTCTTCAATACGTACTTTACCTTTTACTTCACATCTTCACATATGGCTATTGCCTAAATATACATTTGGGAAACATTTTTATCATTCCTTAACTATAACATATTGCAGAGAAGTTTGCTTTTTAAACATTAGATAATTATTAAGATCAACGAGATAAAGGAATTAACATTTTCATCATTATGTTTGTCATAAAAACTCAATTTATACTTACTGAACTAGTATTCTCATCTCTTAAAAGTTGTTCAACTGGTAAAATTGTACCCATAGTTTTAGAATTTTGATGAAAATTATTAATTATTACATTAGAATATGTTTTTATTGATGAATTTATTAATTTGCGCCATTCAATTAAATCAATAGAAGGTGTTGCATCAACAATACATGGAATACGTCCTGGACCATTTCTACCCAAATATATTGGATTTATAGAGTTATTAAGTTGAATATTTGGAATGTCTGTAATTTAAAAATGAAATGTTATTTATTTAAATAATAATATCAAAGTGACAAATTTAAAAAAACTGTAAAAGTATGTTTGTCAAATAGAATGAACACTAAGATTTCATATTTCCATTTATTTATGGTTCTAGTAATAGTTCAAAAGGTAGATACAAACAATTTAATCAGTCAAACTGATCATACATTGCCTTGTACTAAGATGAAACCAGTAAATCAATAATTTCTTTTTGCTAAATCAATCATACGGTTTATTATTATTTTTTGTGACTAAAACACTGTAATATATATATCCACGATTCTTATATTTCAATAGTACATAATGTGGTGCGTGCTACTTATGTTGACATAAGTAGTATATAACGGGTGTCAGGAATGTAATGTCTGGCAGCAGAAGATTGAAAAAATCAAGAAAGGAAGAACGGGAATAGAAAGCAATTAGTATAGAAATGCAAGAACGATGAAGTCGGAGACAATTATTGAACATTTCGCAAATTAGGTATTATAGTATGGTTTTTCTATGTTACCAAGTAACTCTGTCATGTCGTGCTGAATATTATTCGGTTGTCCTCGCCGGTATTCTCCTTCACTACAATATTAGTATGTAATTTTTTATATAAATCATCTTCAGTCAGTTTTAAAATTTTCACATTCTAATTGATTAAACTGAATTTGTTCTAAAAATAAATTATCAGTATTTTTTTTCTAAAGAAGTGTGAGAATTTCGATCGGATTTATGTCAACAGAACATTAACCAATATCCATGTAGAATAGAGAGGAACAATAATGACTAAAATCACTAAACTGTATGTGGATGAAAATGTCTTATTTGGTTTATTGTTAACACTAATTATGTATCATGAGAATGGATTTCGACTTTTGAATGTTGATATAGTAGGCTACATGAAATTTACCATTTTTTTTTACATTTACTTTCATAATTATTGTTACGAATTTGATTTAATTCCCTGTTATCAACACAATATATTCAACTTAAATAGGCGTTAACATGAATAAACAAAGTTTAATATATATATTTATGATATTCGCAGCATTTACAATTTTACGCTTAACAGCAGTAATGTTGATAAACGAATTAAATTCAAGTGTTATAGTGAGTACAGTAACTTAAGTAGTGCGAAAAGTACAATAACAAATTTTCACCAACATTTAATGATGGAGTTTTTATTGTTTGAGATTATGAGAGGGATATCTTTGTTATATTCATTGATTTGTTTCCCATTATATTGTAAAACTGATATGGACCAAATGCTTAAAACCATATACAAATTACACAAAAAGAATCTGGTTCAATGCTGAATGTTTCAGAAAATAAGTGGCTTTTTCAAGAACTTTAAAGGTAAAACTGAGTAAATTTCTACACAATTTACATTTTTATAAATAAAATGAAATACTTCATTGGTTATCTCAAAGAAACGAAACTGAAAACAAGTTATACTAATCCCAAGTAAACATCTAATTACTTTCTGTTGATGAATCACGACAATGTACATCATAAATGCATGAGAACGAATACACTGTCTGTTGAAATGGTTTTAATGTCACTAAATATACTACGTATGCCGAATAGTTATATTGTTCACAATTCGAAACGGTGATGAGTTTGTTTAAATAGTTTACTTGTTGTATGATGTTTCCAAAATTTATATGCGTGTCAAATAATCTGACACTAAAACATTACAATTTGTAAAGATATTCTAAAGGGATCCTAATTTGAGTGTATCCTTGGTGAGTGTGTTACTCACTAACTAGAGTGAAGGATATCTCACTATATAATGAACTGAATGAATTTCAAAATATATATTGCTGGATATCATCTCGGTGGCTTAAACACAGCGTGTTTATTACCAAATTAAATCTCTTGAGTTTAGTTCATGATGGTACTTTGGCGGTTTGAAGCTAAAAAGTGCTGAAATAAAGCAAAACAGAAATTTTGTTCTTCCTGTTTTTTAATTTACCTGCAGTTAAAATCAGTCTGTTAGATGATCAGAATCAGCCTAGACTTATCTCAAATCTCTCAATCAAGCCTGTATGTTGTGGATTTCTTCGATTTGTAACAATCACGGAATTTTAAATTGATTGTTAATACACCAGTTAAATTCTGGTTACGATAAAACTAGTTAACATGAATGGCAAAACGTTTCCCCCTCAAGTCTTCTGAATGAATTCTTCAGTGATTTCAGGGGCAAAAATACAACATGAACTAGCCTTCTGAGAAACAAATTTTCTATGGCTACGACCACACATGAACTTCAATCCCTAGCAGTGATAGTATGACTACAATAGCTTGTTGTTATCAAAATGTTAGTCATCTCACAAATTATTGGATTTATATCAACCATATATATAACCATTTATATAACCAATAATGACCACCAAAATTATTTTCAGAATTATCAATATTTTTAGACGCTAGATTTGAGAGTTGCAAGAGGAAAGGAGTGAAAATGTTTTCAATAAAGTGGGGCCCAACATAAATTAAAACATCAAACCATAGTTCCTTAATTGTCATACAAATATGAGTAATTCGTATCATTTGCACGTTGAATACAGTAGGTAAATTGTTTCTTGTACCGCAACCAATATAAATTTATTTAAACCATAATACTAGGAAAATTGGCCAAATACAGAGAATTACTCCACGTCAATTTTTTTTTACATTTTCGTCTAATATGTCAAGAAAGTTCTCAAATGATACATAATAAAGCAGATTTATCAAAATACTATTTTGATTCGTAACTTACTTTGAAAGAATTACAATAATTTTGATTATACAAACACTAATTTTATGCCACTAGTATAATAAAGTACAATTAATAAAGTAACAAATCTCATTTAAACATTTAGAGGAAGATGCTTTAGTTATTTTTTTCTCAATTATAATTAAATTTTATCTAAGTGATGACGTCTTTGAATTGAACTTTGTAGTGGTGGAGAAAATTTGTGACTCAGATGGATGATTTTGATAGAGTTTTGTTCTGTGAGCTGGATGGTTTGGTCATGATCCTACATCGTTCTTATGAACGACATCATCAGCACGAACTTCAGGTACTTGTCTCTGAATCCCATTAGATTTAAATCCCAGTTAATTTTACGTATATCTCAGACTTATTCCGTCGTAAAATCGAATTCCAAAGATAAAGTAATATTATTAATTCGATTATCAAATAATTTTGAGGATAGATATATTTCTACGAATTGATTCACTAGACCACATGTATGAAATACAGAGATTGTAGAAAGTATGCATTATACGTGACATGTGAGTTGATTCGGGAATGAAACGCCGAATAATTGGTCGATTTAGTTTATATATCTATGCACTTATTATGATAAACAGATAGGCAGATAAAGGCATAATCACGCTTGTATTAAAAATGTACAGGAAAATAGTTAGTGATGAATAGCAAAATAATTAATAGGCTGAAGATAATGCATCTGATAGTTAAACAAGTGTCCACCACTTTACTTGTTCGAACAACAATCAACATGCGTTGAAGTGTACTCTAAGAGAATACTATGAGATTGCCGCAAGATAATAGATTCAAGAAGAGGAAGAAATCAGGAAGAAGCGCTAGAAGTAGATAGGACACACATTGAAGAAAGCAATCAACTGAGTCACTAGATAAACCCTGACTTGGAATCCTCAAAGTCAATGAGAAGAGAAGGACCAAAGAACACATTACGCCGAGAAACGGAGACAGACATGAGAAGAATGAACAACAATTGAATAGAACTAGAAAGGAAGGCCCAGGACAAAGTGGGTTTGAGAATGCTGGTCAGTGGCCTTTGCTCTATTCCGTGGTAACAGGCGTAGGTTAGTAAGTAAGTAAGCCACAAGATAACTAATTATAGAAATATGATAAGAAAATGAAATTGATCATTTTATATAGGTATAATATTTAATCAAGTAAGCGCGAAGTGATATCAGTACAGTGAAACATCTGTATTTTGACGCTGATTAGAGTATCGTTTTTTAGCGTTCATCATTCAAATATAAAATACAGATTGACGAAACCGATTTAATAATAAAATAGAAAAAGGATCTAAATTTTTTTAGGGTAGAGATATTAACAGGTTAATATTAATTGTTAGGTAACACACACCAACAAATTCATAACCATTACATAATACACAATATTTTATCATGCTTTCCATTGACTTCCTCATAAACTGATATCAAACATTATGCAAGATACTGAATAAATGATTAAGTAATTACCAGAGGGGTTTTTGTGGAGATTTTAGTCATTTCAGTAGATGAAATCATGAGACAATTGAAGCTAGAACACCATAGAAAACCCTTCTGATAATAATCATCTCCTCACCAATGACTGACTTCAAGAGCCATTTCCTGGAGTCCTAGTAAGAAGCCGTGACCATGGAGTTAAACCAGGTCTTTTGTGAGATATCAGCTCGCTGAAGACAATGGTGTAAGGTTGCACAATATCATGGACTGGTTGCAGTCAGACATTAATACCGTTGGATGCCGGCCGGCTCAATGGTCTAGTGGTTAAGCGCTCGCGCGCGATACTGATAGGTCCAGGGTTCGAATCCCGCGGGGTGCTGGATCGTGGGTGAGAACTGCTGAGGAGTCCCATACTAGGACGAAGCAGCCGTCCAGTGCTTTCAGGTTTTCCACGGTGATCTAGCTTCAATTGACTCATGATTTCAACTATTGTGATTAAATAATTAATAATAAATAAAATCAATATTAAGCTTCTATTAAATCAAATTCTTTCCAACTTTTACATGTTTATGATAAAAGATACCTTGAATAATATCAAAGAAATAATCCTTCATAATCTTAGTTCTTAATAGAAATCTTTACTGAAGGGCATTTATTCATTTACATTGTTATCTTTCAGAAATCTGTATTGTTTCTTAAAAATAAAATATATTCGCCTTTTCATAGTTGAACTACTATATTATTTGTATAAAAAATATATGTAGGTTTATTATTATTGTATTAACATAATTTATAAATATAATAGAGAGTAATTCATAATATACAAACCCAAAAACTAACTATTTTGCGTAGTTATCTTATTTTTTTCAAGATTTTTAAAGTTATGGAACCTATTCAGAGATGTTACAAGTTCTATTGAATCACATCAAACGAAGTTAGAAGAAATTTTCGGTAGTTCATTAAGTGGATATTGTTAGAAATGAATCATTTATGTGAATCGTTTAATCTATTAATGCTGAATAAATAAACACACCAAGGTTATTTTCATTACGTGATCATAAATTGAAAGACTATTACAATCACGAATAACCATTTAGTCTAGACTCGTAACTCCTTAGAAGTATGAAAAAAAAACCCAACTATTATAGTTTTCTGCATATGTATGTAACCAGGTGTAGTCAATTTTCTAGTTTAGTTATCCAATTCGATCACTTTTTTCCATCAAGATCTTTGAGTATATATTCTGTCTTGAAAACCATTTTGTTAAACCTTTAGCCAAATTATTAAATAAATTCGTGATAATTTGTTACTGAGATTTCCATGGTATATTTAGAAGTTGAGACTGTCTAGACTCTAAAGAAGATGATTTCTTCAGTTGATTATTTTTTTCTCAACAGTGGAACTGCTATAATTTAATATATGTTACTAACCATCTAACTAATGACCTTATGCATCAAAATCATTATATTAGTAATTAGTGTTAATAAGAGCAATCATAATTTGTAAATATTTTATTTCTTAGTAACTCATAATACAAAGCAATTTGTCTATGCTAGTCGATGTATATAGTTTACTAATTAAACTTAATTAGGTAAATAATTAGATTGGGAAATTTTATTCCTTCTATTCTATTCATTATTTATATTATGAATTACTACAATCTGTTAGACAGCTATAAAGTAGAACTTTCTAGCAAATATTAGCAATGAATGATTATCGTTTTGAAATTTAAACTGAATAATAAACTGCAAAAAGTTGTTCATACAACGTTATTTGGATTTATGATACACATTTTACTTATACATGCCCTCAAATGCCCTGATACGAACGAGGGTGAGGAGAGTTAACTCTCCCTCTGGAAATGCTCTCACTAAGCCACGCACATACAGCCACTACTAGAGAAGTCTTATTTACTACCTTCTCGTGGTGGTGGTGGTGGTGTTGTTTATGGAATTGGGAGGACAGAAAGCGAATGTCTGTGCTTTATCCGGGTTAAGGATATAGAGGATCCACCTAGGGGAGTTGGAAAACCCTGATTCTAAACCGATGGTGCATATAGGCTCCAGAATTCCGAGAAAACAAATGGCGTATGAACCAATTATTGGTCACCGGCTACCATGGGACTGCATCTCATGACGTTGCCCACTGCTTTGTGCATCAGACCTTCATGTCGAAAGCTCCGGATGTGGCCCCCTAAGAAAACCACGTACTTCGGTCTGAGCACCCAAGTAGTATCACAGCCCACACACAAATCAAGTGACTTGTGTGGCGCATATGTTTCAATGCCCTTTGTATCAATATTTATGTGCTCAAATAAATAAATAATATACGTGAAAGCATTAAATTCCAAACACATTAGATATCTAATATCTAATCATAATAATAGATCTTAGATGTAATCTTGTGCTGGTTTATAGTGAATAGCAAATTAAACCTGTCTAGTTGCTGTCTATTTGAAAGATAATTTCATTGATACTGCTAAATCTAATGGTCACTGATATTTATCTGTCTGCACTTCATAAAATTCATCTAAGAATACAATTTTCATTCCATTTTCCTTCAGTCAAATAACAAATAATACTTCAAAATCTCAATGATTACCATACTAACATACATTGGACATTTAACCAGGCAGATGCTTCTAAATTCTGTTTCACTTTTTCAAGTTCTTCATTATATCCATGTTCACGATTGCGTAAATATTCAGATATGAAATCAATTTGTCTTTGATTATTGTCATTTTGTTCAGTTGTCAAAGGTCTCATGTAATTATGCTGACTGTTTGAATATTTGAAAGCTACTTGACATGTATAGATCCCAGTATCATTACGATTAATTTGTGTAAGATATAAACTACCATTTTGTAAAATTTGATAACGATGTTGAATATCTGGTTGTAAATTTATATCTACTTTATTTTTTAACCTATAAAGAAAGTCAGAAATTCACAATACATATTTCTTTTATAAACTGTAATAACTAAAAGTAATGACTCCTAAATTGGTTGAGTTATTCATTAATGAGATAATCTGAAACCTGATTGAAATGTAATCATATACATTTTTAGAAAATCGACATAAAAAAAAGCTATATGAAGGTCGTAATGTTCTAGCTAACAGATTCAGTGTAACGAAATGTTGAAAAAATTATCCCGCAAGAGGGATCGTTGGTGCGCACTGCTGAAGAGTCCCATACTAGGACGAAATGATTTTCCAGTACTTACAGGTTTTCCATGCTGGTCCAGTTTTAATGACTCAAGAACTCAACTATTAAATTACTACGATCTCCAAAAATTCCCTCTGACAAAAATAATAACGTTGAATTTAAACATCTGATATTCCAGTGTCATCCACTTATCTACTATTTCTCTCCTGTTATGTTTCATACTGATTTGTTTTCATATTATTTGTCTGCAGACGTTAAAAATATATAGATAATAAATCACTGATAATATTCTCAGTCTGACTAAGGAATATGACGTTTATAGAAGTTTTTCACGCTGATGTTAGCTTACATTACGGAATAACGTTTACTGCGAATCTCCAAGCATTAGACTTATTTTAACGCATTTGAATAGTACAAACAAGCTTTTTCATACATTGGTTAACCTCAAACGTACACGCCTTGTAAGTACTGTTAGACTATGTTTTCATTATTTGGTGATCCTCATTTCCAACGTCCAACAATTTACAATATAGAGCCAGGATTACATAATTCCATTTACCACATATTACTATTATTGACTGGTATTAGCTTTATTTGATCTGTCATAATAAAACGTTAGCACGTTGAAGGATTGATAGTGTTTTAGAATGGCTAATGATAGTGATTACGAAAATTATAACAATTTTTACTGTAAGAAGATATACCAAGACGGATGCTGTCATCGAGTTCACAATTTTTACAGAAACAAAATATGATTTAATACTCACCATTTGTATGATAAAATATGAACCTTTTCATTTATTTGACAGTCGAAACGAATATGTTTTGCATGTTCTTGTACTGTGATATTTGTTGGTGTTTTAACTAGAAAAAACAAACAAAATATATTTATTTAGCCTAGTACATTTCATAACCAAAAATTGTAATACTCTGTAAACAATAGTGTAGATCAAATAAAGTTAATGAAATCTCATTTTATGAGTTGGTAATTGATGAGTTCTACATGTATTAGAATGTAAAAATTTCAATTTTCACATTATTAACTGACTTTGGTTAGACAACCGATGAAAAACAGGAATAACCATACATTTCCATGTTTAACTAATTTATGATATTATGCGAACATTTTCCATAGTCACTGTTTATATTTATCTCTTTATAGGATGTTGTGACAGTTGTAGAGTTAGAGGTTGCTCATCACAATGTGATGTTTGTTAGACATTCAGTAAAAATACATGTTTAATATTGACCAAATTAGGTGATTTTGTCGACCTGCTCAAATATCTGGCCTACCTGTTCCTGATATTTAGATATTTCAATAAGTTATCCGTTTCTTTGTTTTAACAAATAATTATGTCAATTAATTGAATAACTTATTCAAGTGTGTTTGTGAATTTACATTTCACTGTACAAGTTACATAAATGTACAATTGAAGCTGTCTGGCAATATGCATTGAATATTATTCAGATGTCAACTTTTGTAATCCTAATTTCTAACCGGCAATCACTCAATATTTATCAACAATATCGATCAAGAAAGAAGGAATGGAAACTCTTTGAAATATTTTGTGCTGAGAATTCTATATTGTATCAAAAATATAATACTGAATAAAGCTAATAATAATAGAAATAATAATAATAATGAAATCTTTATCACCAAAGTGATACCACCAGTGAAATCAATAAGAACTAAGTTATGAAGTATCAGTTAAATCTTGATGTGAATTCCTTGGTCGTTTAAATTTGTGCTAAATAAACGAATAGATTACAATAAGCAATTTTACCAAGTGATGAAAACATTTTTATCCCATAATAATATTCATAAATAATAAGAATAGTTTACCATAGAAGTTATTGTTAAATTATAAAATTTAAGTTTGCCCGAAAATTATCTAAGAGAAATTTTTAAAAATAAACTATTCACAATTTGTATCGTGAGCCCAAAGTGAACATTTTTATAATCAATGTTAAACGGTTTAGATTACCTAGTCTAATTATTTTAATCTTTATTGTACCTGGATTAAATATACAATATGCCTGAATATAAATTTATTTCATAGTATTAAGACGTTTGAAATTATGTGATATTGTGGTGTGAGTTACTTATATCCACATAAGTAGTATATAACGATGGTCAAACAAAGAATGTATTTTAGTGGAAGATCGAGAGGGAAGAAAGAACGTGAACGAAGAGCCATTGGTATGAAAATGCATGAACAATAAAATCTGAGACGATGAACTGATATTTGTAAAAGGAACAGTCATGCTTGAGACAATTGATTGATATTTTGCAAACCAACTATTTATTGTATGGTCCTCAGATTTTAGTGCGATGTTTCGTAATTTTGTGTTCAAATACATTCGGTTGTCCCTGCTCGAGTTCCTGTTCACTAAATTATAACCTTAGTTTAAAATGAAAATTTACATAAAAATAGTCTTTATCTGGTTTAGAAACCAGATTTTCTGTGTGACAAAAGAAATGAAATCAGAGTAATATAATGTATACTCTATAAATAGATAAATATATTTGTAATATCCCAATGAGTAGAAAAATCAGGTTTTTTGACGTTTCGTGACTCAGTGTTAGCCACTTTTTCAGAGAAAAAATAGCCAAATCAAATATAATCCCAGTTTAAATAGTACAACGGAACAACAATAAATGTTTGGTTATTTATTCTCTGAAGAGGTGGCTCATATTGAGTCACGAAATGTCAAAAAATCTAATTTTCTACTCATTGAGATAGTACAAATATATAAATTTATTGATAACAATCTATTCAATGCTCAATTTATTCGAAATTATCAAGTCAAACCTTGGTAATGATACCTATAATATATACTCTGTATTTACTGACATACTACAGTGAAATTTATGTGAAATTGATCTGCCATGATTAACACTTGCAGTTGAAAATGTAAGTGAGAACAACATAATTATGGATTACATTTAAACAATTATCTGCCCTGAAGAAAAAAACCTTGTTCAGGGTATTGTTTTAGATTCTAATTGACGTTGTTAAATTGAAAATAAGGCGTGGAATATGATTAAATACATTCATACATTACGATTACCAAAGTTTTTTTTTAATTTCAAGAGTAAAACAGTCAAAAGAACAAATAATACTTATATTCAAACGTCAGACTCATGAGACGTTGATTTTTAATTGTAGTAACAGAAGTTACTGCCTGATTTGGGGAATGATTTTGAAATACACATTACCCTTCTCCCGAATTAATGTAAGCATACAACTTTACCTGCTTAGAGATATTGTAAAGTATTAGCATATTGGTTTAAGTGATCAATTTTAAGCCACTGAATTATAAGTTCAAATCTCACTTTGTTAAGATTAATTTCAGTAGACATGTGGTCTAACAATCCTTCAAACAATATTTGTGGCTAAAAGCCGAGTATGCAAAGTTGTTTTTCGTATATATTTTACGGGATAATAACAAATTATGAAACAATCCATAATGTTTCTATCCTTCAATCCATCGCAGATACATTTATAGCTTTCAATGTCCGCTAAAAATCTTGAGTTCATAAATAAATTGTAATACTGAACACTTTCCTTTAAGATTTCATACCGTTATACTGGAGACTCGTGCATTTACTTCTTATCAGATTAACGATTAGACACATTTGTTTATTTTATCAGGAATGTTTCTTTGAATATCATACTCTTATATAATCAAATAGCATCCATCTGCTAAGTAAACACTTCAACATATTGCAATTATTACCAATAAGATGTTGCACAATCCACTATTTCAGAAAACCAAAAATATAACGCTAAACTATTATATGAATTTTCACTTGCAGAGTTCATTTTACATTATTGATTGTCACATTTATTAATTTGGATCATTATTCTTACTTCAAAACTAAACTCAAAACATGTAAAAAATCAAGCATGACTTGAGCAAGAAATTAAATTACCGAATGAATTGTTTTCCCTCCTCAAAAAACATAACAATTTAACTAAGTTCACTCATTTATGTAGAGATTTTACTGGTATTTGATGATTAGTTAACAAGTATCATATATAACTAAGACAGTAAAAAAAAAGATTTTACACTGAGTAACTACAATCAAATGTTATCATGAACAAATGTCACATTGAACCAATAAATGATCTCCCGTTGCATTCGTTCATTAAACATTCTCTTTTGTAGAGGAATATCTATGAGTAGAATCTTGCATGGAGTCAGCTTAAAGGTTACTAATCTTTATTTAATATTAGAGCTCAATGTAGAAATGATTTTGTAATTAGATGTATTATCAAATTGTTGAAATATATCATCCAAAAAGAAGTTTCGGATCAATGATGTTTTTGAGTCAATTGAACAGGTAAGTAGTGTTTATAAAATCATTTCTCAACAGCTAACAATCTGATCAAGAACCAACTGGTTTTAATCAATGAATTGAACATTTTTAGATAAATCACTAAAATAGCACAACTAAGTGTCAGATCTTGCAACAAAAATATTTTTTTATCAATGATAAAAGTTTGAGTCAATTATTTCTTTTGAAAAAGGAAAAATATTTCCATGTGAATGTTTTGTTCTACGTTAACCATATATCAAAAAGCTATGGTGAAAATGTAGCGCCCAATTTGCATAAAGCTAATACCTTCCAAACACATCTCTCAGTAATATCTGGCCTGCTTTATCTAAGGAGAATTCATTATATTCAGTGGCTTAAATACGAACAACTCATCACCTTTAGGCACGTTGTTCTACGAGAATCATCCATCAGGATCCTTTATGCAGTTAAATGAGCAGGATTAAAGGGAGGTCAAGCTGACTACTCGTACACTTCGGGAGCTATATCAGTTCATCACTTAAAGCCTGAACTGTGCTTGTTAAAGTAATTAGTGCAATCTCTTAAACTTCTGTTACCTTAATATCATTTTCAGTGTGATTTCCATTTTCATTATTATTATAATCATCATAATGTTTTACGTTTTTAATCATAAACCGGTTATTACTAACACCTATTTTTTTAGATTCACTATCCAATTCAGATCGTCTCCCAGTTTGTTTACTTCTCCGTCATATCTGTCATGTGGACAAATATATCTCATATTCATGAGCCGTAAATTAGTATCATTCACTTATTCTTCTCCAACCTCTTAATCATTATGCAACCCCACTTTGGTATCTCCAAACAATTTACGATTTAATTTCCCTTCATTCTTCAACAGACTGATATATTTTTTAAATCACTATAGATACAATTGTATAGCTTTAGTACACTAAATCGTCAAAGAGAAACTTTATTTCGTTGGTTATTTTTTATTTTTTATTGAAGAAAGGATAATTATAGTATCACTCCAGGATACGTTTGCATAACTAGAAACTCAGATTTTCATTAATCATGTTCATTTAATCATTGCTTTTAAAATTAAACCGATTTCTATCTGTAATTGAAGTACATGTAAACTAATGGTGCATTAATTCAGACGGCGAATTATTCCTCAGGTTATGATCAGCCATTATAATGACTGTAAGATACACGACAATCATTAGTCTTATTGAATACTGATAGTGAATATGATAAATATCACTTTGATTTAATAAAGTGTCTTCACGTCTTCAAACGTATCTTTACTCAGTTTTATAAACTTTGTAAAAACAACATCATTTAAACAAAACCAATCACATTTTACTGTTTAGCATTTTATTATATTTCACTACTGAAATCTAAACTTTCTCAGTAATATTCACTAGTGAAACTAGTATTCATTTCACCGACCAAATATAACATCTGAACATGTATCGATATGCATTTTATAGATATCTCACCAGTAAAATATATTAAGAAAATTTCTTAAAATTCAACAAATAGATCAAGGATCAACCAGACCAAAAACATCACAGATCTACTCAAAATTTAGTCTTCAAGCATTAGGCTCTTGATGTTTTTTTTAATTTGAAAATGAACTTGTATTTTAATTTACAGACGTAAAACCACGTTTAATTCATTCCTAGGTCTCAATTAATCATTTCCATTTACTTTCTTATTCATAATAATAATAATAATAATAATAGCTTTTCAACTAGCCTTAAATAACTCATTAAAGATTTGATTGTTTAATAACTAGCCAATTTATACTTGTTTACTTTTTGGGTGGTTACAACAACTATGGTTTATTTATTATAAACTGAGCATTAATCATTTAAAATGATATTCTTCTTTATTGTACGACAAGTTCACATTCTTATGTCATATATTCACAGTCTAGACTATGTTTTAATAAAAACTAATTCAGATTAACTCTGGAACGATTGTCTTGAAAGAAATCTTTCTGTTTCATAAAAACGATAAGTTAAGTGTAACACATCTATTCCCATAGAATTTCGATGTTCACTCTCAAAAAGTGAGTGTAAAAATGTAAAGTGATTTGTTTTTCCCAATACTGGTGATAGATATTTTATGTAATGAATCCATCTAATAATGAAATAAGTACATGATCACTGATACAACATTAACTCCCTTTTAATCGAAGGATAAGTAGTTAAAATGCTGAGGTTACTTATGTGATTAGGATGTTTTAAGTAAACACATAAGATGTGAGTTCTTAGAAAACAGTAGTAACAACAGTTCTATATAGTCACGATGAAGCTGATCATTTCTTTGAATAAACAGAATAACTTCATTTCAACAATCAAAGCTAGTTATATTTCAAAAGTCAAACCACTAACCGAATAACTCAATACATGAATATAGACTAAGTGACTGAAGCTGTTACTAGTGTATTAAATCGCATAGAATGTTTGATTGAATTATCAGATAATAAATTATGGGACATTGAAAAAAAATCCTATTTTCTCCTGCCTTTCCTTTTAAATCACATATAATGATTAATATAATTCATTTCAGAAAACAGTCGGACTTTTTTTTAGCTCTTTATTCCATTCTATCTATCTATATCATTAACTAATCAATAGATAATACATTCAATGGTTCAAATCAGTTATCTTATCTATGTTAAACAATTGACTGGAACATTAAAATAACACAAACTTTCAATTACAAATACATTCTTCTTTGAATTCAGTATTTTATCTCGTTTACTTATCTTGTTATTTATCTTCATTTAATGCATGCTGTGAGATTTTTGATCCATATCATACATAAAATTATATGTTTTCTCAATATTCACCGACCGAAGACAATATATATTGAATGAAATATCTTCTCACTTGCGTATACACACAATCTTAACACTTCGTTTCACATCACATGTCTCTTACACAGTAATGTAAATACCTACTTCAAACATTGTTCACGTTGATTGCATGACTTATTCAGTGTACAGTAAACCAGAGAACCATGTACCTATTTATATTCGATAATTTTGTTGTTTGATTATATTTTCCTTGAAAAAGCTTGAACCAGATTGCCAGGCGAAACGTTGGATTTACTTAAGATTCTTTCGCTGAGATTTTACAAATACATTCTTCCTCTTTAATGTCCCACATTAACTCGGCGCCTAAATATTGTTAAACTATTCGTTCAAATTTAGACGAAAGTTCTTATATATATATATATATATATATATATATAAATATATATATATATATATATATATATATATATATTGGTGTATTCATTTGAGTATTCATAGTCGTAACGATTATTTTCATTTTTATTACTTTAATGACAAAGTCTAATCTACAAACAAAACTTTAAAATCAAACAATGAATAGTAACCTTTAACTAAACTAGTTTGAGCGACAGTGATGCAATCGGTGAAAAATTTCATAATTTACAAATTTTTATAACCATGACTACTATACTTAACCGAATATTTTGTTTTCAACTAATGTTTCTGCCATCAATATCTGTAAATTTGACAGTTTTTTGCAATGGTTATCAATAAGTCACGTTTTGTAAGGATCAATGTGTTACAAGCTTTCTGTCTACAATATAACAGTCGCCAAACGCATTGTATTATACGTTTATTAAAAAAAGTGGTAAATAATTATTGTCGAAATAAATCTAACAAACTGTAGAATTTTTCATAACTCACTAACTAGATTTTATATACCAAGTAAAGTTTACCTGTCATACGTTTTCCCTGTTCATATGATACCATTAGCCGGAAAATATATTCACAATAAGTAGTTGACAGTATTTTTCATTATGATTTACCATTGTCACTAATGATTTTCATGAAAAATGATTAACCGGTTTCGAAAAAGATGTACGAAATTACTGACGTATTTCAACAACCTTTATCCCCGAATAGGGTATTTATTGTTAGATTAAGAGATACTAACCTAGTAGTTATAATTAGTATTACCTTTTTTAAAGCACAGAACAAACTGATTGTTTACCTTCTAAATAATGTTCTTATTAGTTAGTGTTTGTAATATTCAGTGACTGAGTCATCTTTTAAGCAGTCACGTATTATAATGGACAGTTATAGTATACAAAGTTGTCACAGAGCGTGGCACAACAAATGGATGAGCTTCTAATAGTGTTTATTTTTTTCATGATTTTTTCAACAAATGTTACTTGAAATGATTCCACAAATAATACTGAAACTTGAAGTAAGGCATATGTTTCTGACTTGGCACACATTGGCATACAATAACTAACTGTAACTCGTAAAATATGATCGATTGGATCATGCTATTTTTTCCTGCTCCTCTATAAAGACGAGAGTGATTTCTAACTTTTCACTATTCAACCGGAGCAGAAGTACATCGCTTTAAGCTTTTACTTCTCTTGATTTCCTGTGATAACCCTTAGTCTTATTTTAATTTTAAGAACTTTAAATATATCCTCTGGATCCGCTGCTAACCATTTAAAGCTTCATTAATAATCCAATGTTACCGTCAGGTAACTGCCCATCTGTAACTAAGTCGAGTCTAATAGATGTCTTCCAAGTTATCTGATACGTGACATCATCTTTAAAGGAACATATAAAATTATTCATCTCAGAAAGCAAAACAATGGTAAAGTATGATATTCTTTAATCATTAGCTGTCATTCCTGTTTGAAGATATCAGTACTTTGCTTATGGTTCGTCAGCAAATGTTCATAATCGATCAATCAAATGTCCACTGGTTATTACTTACATGGTGCTTTAAATGACTTAACATTTGCTTGAAGGATATCTTAGTCATAATCCATCGATCATGATACTCTTGTAGGATATGTTAATCAACGAATCAAACCATCAGTGAAAGCGCATGCCTTACTCGACTTCTTCAACTTCATCGTAATGATGTTTAGATAATCTAGAGATGATTTCCAGAAAAGCATGTGGTTACAAAATCTCACATCATTCCATTGGAAAGAACCTGTGACCGACTTACCAACGAACTCAAGCAATCCATCTAATCATACATACTTAACCTATTCAGGTTCAGAGTTTGCAGACAGAAACCAAATTATTCAATCGCATGACAATTAATGCATTTATTCATTTCGAATTATAAACACATGAATATAAACAAAAATGTTACTTGTACAATCACCTTTCACATAATTAACATGGCTTTCTGATGATTGGACTTATTTGTGAATTCTCATCACATGAATACAAACTAATAAGTTTAACAGTATGCGGTACAATAATCTTATTTGACATACATGTTCAGTACTATTACTTTGTACTTGAGTTAACTTAAATTGTGTCAAAGAAGTTACTATGAACTAATCGAACTAATGTCTTTGATAATGAACGACACTTCTTATGATATTTTAAAATAAGTTTATTAAGTAAACAACAATGAAAGCCCTACATGGTTTTGTTGAGGATTAATCAAAAGAGATATCTACAATTAATTTAACTTCTAAGGGAATATTATTTGTATGTTGTGTTAGAGAATAATTTTACAGAGGTAATCAATATACTTGTAAGTAGTTAACCGTATAATCTTCAAATATTGCCATTACTGTTGTTAGATTGATATGCCAACGATGATATGAAAAAAAAACACAAGTTTTGTTTCCAGTAGGATCATTAAAATTAATCAACTCAGTAATATAACATATCTAGAAAAATGGAAAAAGTAAACGTTACTTACCGAAATAAATTTTCTTACTACCCAACATTTGTTTAGTATTATTATTCAAAATATTGTCATTATTTTTGCTAATCCATAGCCCATTAATCAAATTGATTGATTCATGCTTTTGGTTATATTTATGATTAAAACTTTGATCAGTAATACTTTCACTAAAAGTATGGTGTACAATATCCAATGAATAAATAAGCATGATCCAAATGAATAAAATGACTTCATGCTTGTACATTGTTATGGTTAATGTTTTTTGTTGTTGCTAGTCTTTCAATTATATGCTTGAGATTTCAAATTCGAAACATGTGATATGATGATAAATAGAGAGTAATAATAAAAGAAATCACTCATTAGTTGAGTATTTTAGTTATATACTATGTAAAGAGCGGAAACCTATGTTCAATGCGTGTAACTGAACAAAAAGATTGATATACAGTAGTTCTAACTAACATGTTATTTGTTTAAATCAATATACAGCTATTCGGTTCGATTTCGAATTTTATGGAGAATATATCCTCAAGTTTTTCTTTTATGTATAGTAAAAGATAATGACATGAAATCGGATAGAAAACGAGTATAAATGAAAATTGATAAAATGAATGAATTTTGAATATAAACTAAAAAAAACAAATCCTATTGACCAATCAAATGCTTATTGTATTGTTAACAAAATCTCCAGACAAAAAATGTCCACAAATCCAACATAGAGATGTATTTAGTAATGAACATACAAACGTGACAGTTTATAAGTTTATTATTATTATTATTATTATTGTCATTATTAATAAGAAAATACGCATTATTGAAACGAGATATCACATGTTTATGAACATCCCGTTCAGAAAATAAATGTGTTTCAGCTAGATCCATCAGATAATACATTAATAGTGAAAGATCGAATCTTTTTATAAGTAGATATTATTCAAAACACAGATGTATGAATCAAATATATTCTTTTCAATACATTCTCTGAAGGTTCTACATATACGTATATATAAATTGATAATCTAAAATTGGTCAGGTCTACGGTAAACACATTCCTCAGAATTATACCATGTAAATTGCATATTGTTTGTGAAATAACATAAATTTGGTAATGTTGAGATGACATATGAATATGTTTTTGCTAAGTGAAATTCTAAGATTATTTGTTAGAATAAACATAAGTAACAGGAGGTGTGGTAGATAAGAAGAAACCTTAAACAGAAAATCACTTAAACTAGTCAATATTCAAGTTTTAGTAGTTTTATTCCTCTAGATTCAGACACTTCAATATAGAATCAGTGTCATATGCAGCTCAGATACATTTAAAGGTAAAGAAATAGTATGTGTAATACTCTAAAAGAAAATAGGTATCCTGATAAATTTATAAATAAACCTTTATCCAAAAATAGCTCAAAAGAAAGTACTAACTATGACCAAAATATCTCTATTTATACGTCTATAATTTAGAAGTGGCGTATCCAGCAAAGCGTTAATGTTTAAGTTGCACAGAGTTATTCAAAGAACCATTATTAAAGGAAAGCAAAAGCTATTGAACATGACCAATGAACACTTCGAGATCGAAGGATTAATTAGCTAGACTAGTCACCTTTTCTGCCTATATATCGATTCAGCTGCTCTTGTGGAGCACGTTATATCGTCAAATGTTCAAGGGTATTTTATGTTCGTGTTTGCGAATACCTTCCGGTCTTATAAAGTAGAAGCATAGTTGAAACTGTTAACAGCTCCATTCTAGACAATTGAATGCAAACGGACCATACAGTAGATATGGAGCAATCTTTTATAATAATATATCGTGTTAGCAAATCTGCCTGAAACCGTCAAACTAAGAAGCAGCTGAAGCATTTGCTTTTGCGACCAAAAGACCGGAACTTTGCATCCACCAAAAATATGTTAAATCGCTTCTTTTAACTTGAAAAACTTGTAATCTAATTAGTTATCAATCATTTTGTTGATATGGTGACACGAATTGATTAATGTTCATACAATCTTTCTCTTTTCATTTTCATAGCTTAAAATTATTTGCACATATTTTTACTATAACATAATCGGAATCAAATAACAAAAGTTAAAACCGCACAATGCAAAATATTTTAGTACAATCAAAATCATATATGGTCTGAATATGGTAATATCAAGTTATCCCTGATCAAGGTGAGTCCATGAGAAAGAATGATTCAATAAATTGCTCTCTTTTTGGCAGATTTATTTTCAAAGCTGTTCAATTGCAAATATATAAACTTATTTTTCAGGAGGTTAATAATTAAAATAAATGTAACAACTGAGATAATAGACTTAGGTTAAACACGAAATAAAATATGAAGGAGAATAAACAAAGGCAATAAAAAAATATTTAAGCCATGGTAACTAATAATAGTTTTATTGTTAAGGCTTTAAATATTCATCATGAGCCATCATCATCCTAAAATACGCATTGAACTACCTATATACCTGGTTCTACATGAGCCATCCGTTCTTAATTATAATTTAGCTATTTATTACGGTTATTTATTTACTCTGAAGAAGCGGCTCACATTAAGGCAGGGAACGTGGGAAATACAACAATTTAATGTTTCCATTTTCACATATAAACGTCAAACAATGTTACGTATAGTTCTCTCAGTTAACGTATATTATGGAAATCATTCAGCATCTTGGTAAATATGAAGTCCACTAGTAACAATATAGTTTCATAAAAAAATTAGATCGACACACACTCTCAATTTGGTTGAAGAATCACTATCACAGTTTAAAAATTACAATTTATTCGGTATTACTTTTCGGTTTTACTTTTTCTCTGAAAATATTTGTAGCGTATTTTAATTCCATGCACTGTAAATGTGATAAATTGGGGTTTGAATAACTTTTCAAAGCAATTGTTTACAATTCATCAAACAAGATGTGAATGAAAATATATCCTGAATATTAGCTTAACGCAACTGATGATAAAGATTCATCGCTAGAATATTTAGTTTCTGAGAAAACATTGATCTGGTTACCGGACTTTATTATCATCACGACCATTAAATCTTAATTTAAACAGAATTTGCCAAAACTTATTATGGTTTGATTACTTCAATCATCTATACACACGCAGATTGTTGAATTATTATTCTATAAATTTTGATAACATACATTGTTTATGCATAATCATTCTTATTAACATATATCTATAACAATACAACGATGATTTACTCCATGCAGAAAACAGAAGGTAAACAAATTAATTATCAGTATGTTAATTTCCTTTTTCTTCACTACATTTTACTTTTTTTGTTTTCTTTGGAAAGTAAACACAATAACAACTAGTTTATATACATTATTCCTCTAAAACAAAAATTGTCTCATAATTAAACAGTTTAAAGTATCAATAAAAATCATCATCAACCATCAGAACATTTCAATAATCCAATAAAATGAATACACAGAATAGAAACATAATTCAATGACAATTTTATCAAATGTTGTTTTGTAATTTGATATAATTTAAAAATTTGTCATTAAAAATCTCTTAATACAAATAAAGCAATAAACGATTGAAAATTACTTTGTATTATATAGAATAATGAGAAGTTGAAAATCAGAATACAGTTGTCAAAATTATAAAGGATAGTGAAAAACAACTCACATTCTTAGATATAATTCAATAAGAAAATTTGATTATCTCCTTATGGGAAGTGAACGCAATGAATGACACATGAAAACTATGGGAAATATATAGTTTTCTTCAAAAAACAAAAACAAAGGGCAATTATATCTTTTTCAATACAAAAATGATACAGTTGAAATCCAAAATTTACATTATTAAAACCCTTTTTTTCATTTCATTCGTTTCTATTTATTTATTTCTATATTTATTTATTGCGTCATTATTCCAACTCTTTCTGAAGTTTAAGTTACATCATACATAACTGACTGATTTCAATTCATATTTTTCTTTATTACCATTAATCTATTTTCATGAGTTCTAATCACTATTTCAATATTCCGGAAATTTCCTTCTCAAAATTTACTTATTCGGGACAAACATTTTATGACTTCATTGACTCTATCGGAATCTTCGCTACACCATGATACATTTATTCATCCTAATCACCGTCTTATGTATAAATATGTCAATATCTGTAATAATGTTGAATTTTAAATACTTTAGGTTGTAAGCAGTGATGAGAACCTGACGAAATAAAATAAAATTCATATTATTCTGCACAAATCTTTGTTCTTGTTCTCTTTAGGATAATAAAGGGAATCATGTGTATGAAAAAACTGAATGGTTTGAAAATCGACTCAATGATCTCATTGTATTGTTTTGTTTTACTGTGAAACAGAAAAACATTCATTAATTTAATTTCAGATAAGATTGAATTGGTACATTACTACAAACGTTCATACTTGAATGACTTATCTATTCAGTCCTTTATTATTCTTATTGATTTCCCTCTTCATAGTAGTCTTAACTTGGAACAAAATGATCTTGATATGTTCGTAATAATAAAAATTAAATTGTATGTATATTCCATGATTCAAAAAAATTATATGAATCAAATAAAGGGAAAGAAGCCTGTGTAAAACATTGTCTTTAAATGAATATTGTTTTCAATATTTATTATTTGGTCAACGTTCTTTTAAACCGCATAGTGATGTTAAAAGACAATAAGGATTTATTCTGACAAACGTTTTCAGTACTACAATCACCAATTTAATTCAATTGAACTTATAAAATATTGAAAACTATAATAAAATTCATCATAACCCCCTCCCCTCCTCATAATCGAGCTGTTTTTTTTTGTATATTAATGGGGGTTTTTTTCCATTTAAATTTTGTATACAAATAAAAATAGACTGTAGAATAAAATAGATTTATCAACAAATAAATATATGTTCATACTGATCACAACAACAACTATTATGATTATTATTTCATAGTTAAGATTCATTTATTTCAATCATAACTATTTCACATCTACATTCAACTTTATGACTTAAAATTTAGAAAGAATAAACATCAAAACTATATACAGATTATTAGATGTATGTTACAGGAAATACTGCTTTTAATATATTAATAAATAAAATACTTATATAGATAATAATACTTATTTAATCTTTTGAGTAGTAAATAATTTGTTACTTCAGTCGGTATTTGTTTGAACTTTTCCTTCCTTTTTTGTTTCAATCAACCTTTCAATATACCGCCCTTTTATAAAAAGAAAAAAAATTAATGGTTATCTG